GAAACATGTATCTTTGAGTAGTCCCCTGATAGGTATTATTCAACATTACTAAATAGGGACAATTCTTTAAAAATTTTATAGTACGTAATGAGATGAGCAGTCAGCTAATGGAAAATCTTCACACACACACACACCACTTTTATTTGTTATTAATTAATCAATAAAAAGATGTCAAGTTTTCTACTATTCGTCAAAATCGAATGTAATCATTGCGAGGTTGTTGTGAAGATTGTTAAGTTTTATCTGTAATCATGAATCGATCAATGTTAGACCACCATTAGAAACCTGGAAGCACTCGATGGCCATTTTGTCCTGGTATGGGACTCATCATCAGTAATCAGTTGGAACAGAGGTTAAAATGAAATTGTTTTACTGAGAATATCATCAACATTTTGGATGTTTTTCAAAAAAAAAATCTAAACACTTCATTTTTAATTTATTTGACTCGTTCATCTTTTATTTTTTTTAAAGATTAACGTTCATTATTCTAGAAAATTCTGTCTAAACATAGAAATATTTATTTACAGAATGGTATGTATCCATTTGAATTTATATGAACATAAGGAAAGCATTGTGAAATGGTAACGATTGAGCGTTATGAATTCGGTCAATAGTGAAGAGACTTTTTACTAAATAAAACAGAGTTTTTATTCTTAAAATAGCCAAATTACTTTCAAGGACTAAAATATATATTAAACGCCTATTGACAATTTTTAAACAGAATTCAAATGTCAATGTCGAATCAAAATTATGATTTCAGTGGTCGGTAAACAAATAAAAATACATATTGTAGATTGTTCGGATCACAAAATAACATTAGATAGGCTATCAGTAAAAACCAGAAAACACTGAATATCTATTTCGTCGTTAAAATGGGACTTCTAAGCTATGTATACCTACAACCCGAGCATGAATTGACCTCATGGTGAACGCTTAAGTTTACAACAGTTGAGTACTTATCCAACTCTTCAATTAATTCATGGTATTTTGTGACTATCATTCTATTGTCAAAGATCCCTAATATTTTAAATCTGGAAAAGCTACTTAAATTCATTGTGAGTAGTAAACATAATTCTTTGTTCATTTCATCACATTATGTATATTGATGTCAATGTCAATTAGATGGCATTATCATTCAAATAATACACAGTTAGTGATGATGTAGATAATAGAGTCGTAAAGCAATTTTTTTAAATATGGATTTTTCTTTATTTTATAATGTCTTATATAACAGATTTTGTTATGCTCGTCACTTAATATGCTTGAAACTATTACGAGTTCGATAAACGAAAACAAGACAATGAACCAGTGACACAGTAGGTTATTGTAATCCGTTGTCCCCAGCCCGGCTAACTTTATCAAGAAAACTTGATATGGCGTAGAAAGTGTATTCTGCAAGCACCCAGCAAATACAATGATCTCAAGAACACAATAGCGTTTATTTAGACATTGTAGAAACGTCTTTGGGAGAGTCACAAAAATAGAACACTAAAAGACTATATCAACCAAGCACAGCCAAGGATATTCCTGGTGGAAAATGTGAACTCAGGGTCAACTGATCAGCCCATGCTTGAGAGCATAAAATCCAA